GTGGCTATCATTAGATATGATGATTAATATTTTTAGTTTTTTTTAATCAGTGCATGCTTATCTAAAAGTACGAAAATAGATCATCACTCTTTATAATTTTTATTCTTTTTTCTTTACAATAATCTAACGAATATGAATAATTTTTATTCTTTATTCTTTACAATAATCTAACGAATATGAATATTATTAACTTAATGATTACACATCGTGAATAAAAAAAAAAAGAGAGGGTTAAAAATTAACTTAATGATTAGACACAGTTTAATTTATTAATTAAAAAAATAGACATTTATGTATTTGGAAAAATAATTTTTCATAATCTTTATTCCAAAAAATAAAAGGCGCGTTTCTTTAAATTGAACCTACACAACAATAATAGTTATTTAAGAATTCATAATTAATGTTATTTAATTATATTATTTTTAAAAAATGAATTTAAAACTTACTTCCGGCCGAAGTTAATATTTTGGAACACATGCGACATGATTGGTACCAGTAGTCATTGATAAAATAAATTTTTGACAAACATGACATTATACAATTAAATTCTAACATTTACTTCTTCATTTTTTTTTTTTTTAAACAATTGAAATTCCAGCCTAAGAGTCTTCATTTTTTTTTTCAAATGTCTAATGTTTATAAGTTGTTTGATCTTAAATTTTATACATACGAATTATATCTAATAACAGTGAAATTATATATGAAATATTTTAAAAATATCCATAATGAATTACACACATACATTGTTCATAATATTCTTTATAATAAATAAATAGATAACGTTGTAGAATTTTTTTATTTCATTTTCTACAATAATCTACAATATGTTTGATCAATACAAAAGATATGACTATGATTAAATTAATCTATTAAATTAAGCTATATATATAGATAGATATACAAAGATTATAATTACAATTACTTATTAAATTTTAATTATATATATATAAAAATTACTCGAAAATATGAGATGTTTCATTGTTTTAATTTATATCAAGCCAGAAATCTTGGAAAATTTCCCCATTTTAGATTGTGATGTTTCAATTTATATTCATACTTTACATCATTCGTTTATAAAAATGCAATTGTTTATCCATATTCCAGTAACTGCAATTGAGGTGATTGATATGTACCTGAAATCGCAGCCATTAATTGGATGTATCGACATAACACATTACAGACGGATGTATCCGAACGCATCTCGTGGGGAGATTACTGCAGTGGTAGGACCATATTCAGGGTGACGGTTGACTTAAATTGATACCTTATCATACTATATATGAATATTTAAAATAGAGAGATGATTGTCATTTTAATATTTAAGATAGAGAGTTTGATGGTCATTTTGCAGTATTGACTGAAATATATATATGTTAGTATCAACCCATTGGTTGTATAAACAATGTATGGATCTTTTATTGTGTATAAATATATATGTTATCTATACTAATATAAAAATGTTTGGTATTTACTTGAAATAGTATCTAAATTTCCTCCTAATATTTTTAGAGTTACTAAATTTGGTAATATTTTTTTTGAAAATTTTCAAAAAATCCCGCCTAGCTGTATTTTTAAAATTTTAAATTCAAATATTTAAAGGAATAAAAAGATCACAATCATAAATTTTTGGTTACATCCGATATTACATAAACTTTCATATCTCTTCAATATCTTTTATACATGACATTTATACAACATTAATTAATATACTAAATCACTATATCTACACATAAAATAAGGATTTTTTTAAGTGAAAAAAAAAAAAAAAAAAAGTTCTAGAACCAAAAGCACGAAAACCAGTGGGAGTGGATAAACATAAAAACCACGTATTTAGAGAATACGTTTTTCTTTGTAAAACGTATTCTCTAAATACGTTTTTCTGTGTGAAAATATTTAGAAAACGTATTCACTAAATACGTTACAATTGAATTTGTACAAAAAACGTATTTAGTGAATACGTGTTTTTTATGTTGATCTACTCCCCTTTTTTTCTTTTTCTTTTTTTTCCACTTTATTATTTATTTTATATATATATATATAAATTACCCATAAAATAAGAATAAGATTATATCATATTTATCTCAAAATATAAGTACTTTACCTCTTTTATGTACCCAAATTTCGGGCATGAAGTGCTAATTTAGCCTTTTTGACAATTAATCTATTGCCTTGTTTGGCGATCAGCGGATAGCGGATAGCGGATAGCGGATTGTATTAGCGGATAGCGGATAGCGGATTATATTAGCTGATTTGACTAGCGGATTGCATTAGCAGTTTTTAAATAAGTGTTTGGTAAATAGCTGAAAGCTTATAGTTGTTTGACATTGCAAATTGACAATAAAGACATTTTATTATTTAGGGTGTATTCTTTTAATAATAATATATTAAAACATTTAATATTTTTTAGTTGGTAATTTATAAATATCTATTTTTTAAAAAAAAAATTACTAACAATTGATCAAGAAGTTATGAATTTTACATTTTTCTAGATAAATTAATCATATAGATGACATATTATTATTTGTTAGCATCATAAATCAATGTAGATTGTAAAATAAATAATACAAATTAAAAAGTTCTAAATTAAAATTGTAGATTGTGAATCATCTATCCCCAAAAAGCTCCTCTAATGAGCTTTTTCTAAATTAGAGTTTTGAGCCTAAAAAGCTTATCAAATAAGCTATTTACCAAACAAGCTCAATAGCGGATTTGACGGGTCAAACCTCTCAATTAAGTCCAATCCGCTAATTTATCCCCAATCCGCTATCTTCCAAACGAGGCCTATATCTATACTTATATTAAAAGTTTTACTAAATGTAGTATGTAGAATAGTCAACCCTAATTAATGATTTACTATTTTTATCGAGCATTTAATTAATGCATCTAATATTTTTGGTATGCAAATCAAATTAGCATTTAATTAGTTCCTAAAATATTGGGTATGCAATATTAATTTAGGAATATCCATGTATTTCTTAAAATGTTGGTATGCAATACGTAAAAGAAG